GTAGGGTTTAGGGTTTTAAGGTGTAAGGTTTAGCATGTAGGGTTTAGGGTTTAGGGTTCAGCATCCAGGGTTTGGGGTTGCGGCTTTGGAACCATCCCGCCGAGCTTCTGCAGGTTGTGATCATGGACTTTTGGATGAGTTCCGGTGACAGGCCGGCGAGATTCGCGGGAATGGGTTTAGGGTTTAGGGTTTAGGGTTTAGGGGTTTAGGGGTTTAGGGCTTAGGGCTTTGGGCTTAGGGCTTTGGGTTTGGATTGGATGGGTAGATGTCAAGGCAGCCCGAGACCGGACAACCGAGTTACGCCAGAGAAACTCTGAAGCGTTGCGTAGGTTGGCCACCAAGTTCCTCGAAAAGTTCAAGCCTTATGTGCGGTCCTTACAACCTCTTCGTTACATGTTTGGGCGTTGTTTGCAGAAGGCCGGCGTATTTCCATTGGTGTGCGTGCGAGAGGAAACGCATGGACGTGTACATGCACTTGCACGCATTTGCGGACTGCATATGTATGTATGTATGTATGTATGTATGTATGTATGCATGCATGTATGTATGTATGTATGTATGTATGTATGTATGTATGTGTGTGTGTGTGTTTGCATGCATGCATATATGTATGTATGTATGTATGTATGTATGTATGTATGTATGTATGTATGCATGTAGGTATTTATGTATGTATGTATGTGTATGTATGTATACAGGTTGATGCACATGAAACAGATATCTGTAAGTCTCTGTGTATATACATATACACATATCTTGGTACACTACCTAAGAACTTGCTGCCGCCCTTGCAGCATGTGTGTTAAGTTTGTATATAGATGATAGATGCCTGTACATGTTTATATGTATGTGCATACACATATACAAGCAAGGTCGCGCATAGGGGTTGGGGTGTCATCGGGTTCCAGGGCTTGCTTTTGGACGGGGGTTTCCAGCCCTAACCCCAAACTTCGATCAGACAAGGATTTTAAGAGCTCTCATATTAAAGCACCTTTGCTTTCCTTGGCTGGACTTGGTGTGGCCTGGCTAGGTTCGCTTGTAGGTTCATGTTACGCGCAACCGTAGTATGAGTGATGTGGCGAAAGCCCCTTGATTGAGCATTGAGGTTCTCGCATATGTACGTAGCATATAGGTATTTATGTATGCATGTTCCATTGGGTGCTTATATGTTATATTCACATATTACTTCGTGCATCAGCATTTCGTATACATGTGTACATGTACTTGTATGTATGTGTGTGTGCTTGCACGTGTATGTGTACTTGTACGTATGTGTAAGTGCATGTGAATGTGCATGTGCATGTGTATGAGTGTGGCATGTGTATGTATGTGTGTACACATGCATGTATGCATATACGTATGCTTGTATTTTCGTCGGTATGCACTTTTGCATTTATGTATCAGCGTGTGTGTACGTGTATTTACATATGAATATATGAATATTTCTGTACGTAGATATGTGACTGTACATGTACGTATGTGTGTATGTTCGTAGGACATGTGTATGTCTATTTCTATACGTATTCATACATATATGCATATTCATATGTACATAAATGCGTGCATGAATTTGCATTCATGTACACATATAGGTTTATGTAAGTGCACATATCTGCAGATCTTGCTTACATATGCACTTACATACTGACAGGCGGACATGTTGACATGCAGGCATTCGGACATGCTGGCATACGGTCATGCAGGCATTCAGACATGCAGTCGTGCACAAAGTACATACATGCATATGTATATATACATATATATATATATTTATACACACTTACATACATACATACACTCATACCTACATACAGCCCTAAATACCTACATACATATCATATATCCATACATGCCGACAGACATACATACGTACATACATACATACATACATACATACATACACATCTGCTGGCTGTTGCGGGCATATGTCTGTGTTAGGTGTGTCTGTATGCATGTATGTACATTTGGGGCTTTACCCGGGCTTCGCAACGTTACTTTATTGTTGTACGTATACGTCCCTGTAAATACAAGCAAAAGCATACCGAAGTAATGTTGGGTATGTGTGTGCGCCTCCAGCATGTATGAGTTAATAACACAGATTTCTGTGCTTAGATAGATATATATATATACACAGCAAGCCTTCACATGCATGTATGTATGTATGTAATGTAATGTAATGTAATGTAATGTAATGTAATGTAATGTAATGTAATGTAATGTAATGTAATGTAATGTAATGTAATGTATGTATGTATGTATGTGTGTATATGTATGTA